AGAAATTATTCAAATTCGTCGACAGTGGGATTTGAACCCCAGACCTATTGCATGGCGGTCTGGCAACCTAACCACTATACTAAGATCGCCAGACCAAATGAACTTAATTATAAAAGAAAAAAGATAAATAGTATTAATATTATCTTAGAAACTAGAACTGAAAAGCTTTTAAAAGCTTATTGAAAAGCTATTATAAATAGCAAAAAATGAATAATAAAGTAAATCATTTCTATATATTTAAAGTTAAATGTATAGAAAATCTACTTTCTATAGTTAGCTTATTAAATATTAGAAAATCTGATATTTATAAAGAATTTTTTATTTTTTCGCATATATGATAAAACGCATACCCCCTATACCCTATTTTCAATAAGTCATGTGATATACTAAGATATGTATATACGTACATATGCGATATGTACTACTTCATGTGAAATACTAAGATATGTATGTATGTAAAGTACATATCTGATATATACTACTTTTGATTACATGAATACTTAAAGCTGCAGTTCGTTATATTTATACTTACAAGCTTTTTCTATGTGAGAGTGTAAGCGAAGGGGTATAGGAGAGAAATAGTAAAGAGGAGTCGTCTAATTTTGTTGAACTAAATCTATACAAAGATAAAGTCTCAATTACTCATCGTATTTTTAGTATTAGCATTCAAATTTTACTAAGAGGTGAATGTGCTAAACCTTTACTTTTTAAAGTTTCACTAGAAAACTATAAACCCTACCCAAAACTAACTTTGATCATACTTGTACCTTTTTTCTTATAAGTAATGAATGTTTGATTTCAATAATAATCCTTCTTCTGATCTTTATTTTAGCAAGCATAAATCGTTTATTTGATAGTACAAAACTACTTGGATATCTGTGGCAATTTTAGGCTAAAGTCTTGACTTCTAGAAGGGACATATTTATTAGATACAAACCAATAACCTCCAGGTTTTGCAAGGGTGTGATTTCGTTGAAGTGCAAGTGTGTGAGTTTGTTGAAGTGCACAGGTGTAGTTTCATTAAAGTAAAGTCGTAAAAAGGTAAAGACTCAATTACCTGCATATTTGCAGGATTATTATAATTTTACTAGGAAGTCTGAACTAAGAGTGTCACTGAATATTTACAGTTTGAAGTTTACTAGAAAGCTATAAAACCCTACTAAGGCTAAGTTTGATTATATCTTTTTCCTATAAGTATAATTTAGTGTTGCTTATTAGATAAAAACTAATAACTCTAGTTTTTTCAGATCTTGTCTGCGTTGTTGTTTACATTTTCGCTATGAATGAAAATCCGAATGATTTTGATTTTGTGACTATAAATGAAGAACCGGAAGATTTTCTTATAAGTAAAGAACCAGAACATACACATTTTATGAATAAAAAATCAAACAATCTTGTTATAAATGAAGAAGCCATAAATTCCTTTGACTCCGAATCTGAGACAGGTATATCAAGAGTTTGTTTATAGATGATAATTGTAAAACACAACATTGACCTGTTAATATTTTTATTTTATTTTGTTTAGACTTAATAGAGAGTCGTGATGATGAATTATTTCAAAATGAAGCCGAACCACCATCTTTATTTTCTGGAAAAAGATTTGATACATGGGAAGCATGCGAATTGTTTTTTAGTGAATGAGTAAAAAATCAAAGATTTTGTCTTACTAAAGGTCATGTTAGTTAGGAAAATAGAGTCCTTCGTCGAAGGACTTATTTATGTGATCACAGTGGCTTTTACGAATCAAATATAGAAAAGAATACAAACACAAAAAAGATGCAGTGTCCTTTTCATATTAATGTATCTTGCCTTAAAGTTAACAATATAGAGAGTTCTATATTAATTAACAAAATAGAAGATAGTCATAATCATTTATTAGACCAAGGCAGAATCATGTTTGAAGATAGGAAACAATTTACTGCTGAGATGCTAGCTGATGTAAAATTTATGACTGAAAATTGTAAATTTGAAGCTACTATACAAAGAAAGTTCCTAGAAAACAAGTATCCAACACAAACAATCTGTTCCAAGGACTTGTATTCTGCAATACAAAAATTTCACTCTACTAACAAATCATTGCTTAATGATGTAGCAAGGGTAAGATCTAGTTTATTATATTTAAGTAAGGTT